CCAATTAATTAACTTTGCATAATCACCTCTACAACCTCTCTCCATTCTTCGACTATTTTGATTAAAAAGTTGTGAAAAATTAAGATTGTGGTTCAAGTATAAGAAAGCAACTTTTCTCATGCTTAATGGTTTAATCTCTTCGAAAGTTCACTACCAAAGGCATAAAAACTTTCTTATACTAAAGTACAATATCACTCTTCTGAGTTTGACTAGTTCTTGTTGCGCATCTTGGGTTTGACCTGAAATCCCTAACTTGTAAATAAGTTTGATTCTTCCTTTGTAATTTCCTCCGAAGAAAATAAAGTTTATTCCCTCGGGTTAAGTCGACACTTATTTTCCTTTATTGTCTTTCGGACTTAGTGGATGTAAATATCACCGTGGACTTAATGGATTAAAGAAAATGAAAGGTAATATAAAAGAAGCTAATAAAATTGAGTTTAAAATGAATCAACCAACATAAAGAACCAATATGATTGATTGAATTCGGTCAAATGTTATACCGAGTCTATTGTGTCAAGGCTTGTCTTATATTAATTCATGATGTCTTGACGAACCTTGAAGCGTCGCTACTTCCCTTCTTGAATTCGCTTCATGATAGGAGGGAAGGGTGGTTGTTATGCATTGCATTTATCGATCTTTGTCCTATCGTGCCCAAAATCATCTTGCGAATCAACTTGCAACCATAGATGGTTTCGGAACTGAGTCCGTTGCTCTCTTGAGTATTTTCTATGATAAAGAAGGGTAGAAAAGACAAACATGGCTAGGAATACCATGTCTGCACTGTTTCACCTCAGGCACAAAAAAACAGATTTCCGCAAAGAAAATAAGGTATGATTGGATTTATTTGGGGCTCGACTAAGTCTTGTTTTGGGTCGGCAAGACTCTAATAAATTGCAAACAATACACTTTTGGTTGAAAGCAATGATAAGGTGAAATAGAACAAGTCTCAGCAAGGAAAACAGAGTAATTTCTGAGAAGCATCGCGTAATCATTACATATTATTTGTTGTAATAAATTAGACAGCCCCTTTTCATTATTATTCATTCAGATTTGTAATAATGATTTATTCAGACACTTGGACATTCGGACCCTCCTGTGCGAGGGTAGACAAACTTGTAATAATGTGTATATCTTCCAACCCCACGTCTTTCTCCCTTTTATTTACCAGCTTATGATGGTTAGTTTAAGGACATCATGTTTAATTTAGCATACTCATGTTTGTATGCACTTGTATTGCATGCATAAAAGTTCGGCTCATCATATTATTCAAATGTCAAATTCAAACTCTTTACTTGAATACGTGCGCTATCACATGCCTTGAATTGACTCGCATGCTATCTAGTAGCCGAGCTTATTAATTGCATATTGTATGTGTTGCATTAGCCATATTACATAGTTAGGATCATGTATTTTTCTAACTAGTTCCTCTTTTGGCTTGGAGTACGAGGTAAGTTTTTATGTTTTAGCATATTGCATAAGTGTGATTGTTATCATATCAAACATACTATCATGAGGCTAAATGCTTACTTGATGTACCTGTTTGAATGTCTGTGGATGAAAACTATTCACCGAAATTGAGATACTTTGATGAAATGTATATATATGAGATCACTTTTTCAAGTGGTACATATTCAAAACAAATATGAAATCAAACGTTCCAACTTCTAGTGAAATTAGTCTATACTTGTCTATTAAAAATAAAATAAGAACATATGTTGTACATAAGAATCACATCATAATTAGTAGAGGCCGATCTTTGATCAGGTGAGTAGGGTGCTCATTATTGACCTTCCCCTCTCATACCTAAGTTCCCGAACCAAGACACTTTGGTAACGACGGACTAATAGCCTTTGGCATGAGTCACGGGTTTATTAAATTTTTCAAAACAAATATTTAGGTGGCTACTCTGATATCTGGCAAAGCAGTCTATTTTTGGCATTTGATTCAAAACATCAATTTTTCAAAAGCAATTGCGGATTTGGACTCTTTTTATGTTTCCACTGTTTCACATTACACTTGTAAAATCAGAATCAGAACCAACATGAGTAGAGTCTGAACTGTAAGGACTATTCATCCTTCCGAAAGGGGGCGCGAAAAGCCGACCTACAAGTACCTTTTAAGAATCCTAAATATTTATGTATCTTTTTAAATTTAAATATTTGTCTATAAATATATTCTTTAACTTTTTAAAAGAATTTCGTTACACTTGAGTCAATTGACTAGTACTAATTGTGGAGTATAATTGTAAAAAAATTAGATCCTATAAAATAAATAAATAGACTCCATCTAAATAAATAAATAAACAAACAAAAACAATAACAATAATAATAAACAAGGACGATTTTAAATGAAATAGGTCATCCAAAATGCTTTATTCAACTTTTTATCTTTTTAAAATCTTCTACCGTCACGTTCTTGCAACCTTAATAATTCAATTATTCAAGAAAAATAATTTGTCCAATGTTTATAATGAAAATATACATTAGAATCTATTTATTTTTGGTTGAAAATATTACACTAGATTCAAGAGACTCATATCTAGCGCTCATTGGTCCTTGTTTCACTGGAAATATAATTGGTACAAACGTAATAAGTAGAGAACGACAAGATGTTACCTATTGTATACCGTGATAGATTGAAACATATATTTAAATTGGTTTGATAATCTAGAGACCAAAACAAGTTTGTGATGAAAAAAAATAAATAAATAAAAAACAAACCTTAAAAAGTGTAACATTTTTAAGTACAATAAAACTACACCCTGTTTGGTTTGTATTTATTTATTTATTTATTTGTATTTATTTTTCATTTTTGTATTTTTTAGTCAATTTTTTTTAATAGTTTAAATAATTTTGTTAATTTTTAAATGTACTTGATCTAGAAGGACCTAAAAATTAAATATTTATGAAAAAATATATTAAAAAAATAATAAATACACAAGAATATGAAAATGTACTGAATCTTTTTTTGGTATTTTTTTGCATTTAATGAATTTTTTGAAAATATATTTCACAAATATTATACTTTTTAAGTATATCTAGATTAGGTATATCTAAAAAGTTAAAAAAATAAATAAATAAAATGTTTTAGAAAATTACTAAAAATAAGAAGAAAAATAGAAAACCTAAATTTTAGAAAATTAGAAAAAACCAATTAAGGTAAGATTTCTTCCTTAACAAAAAAATCCACCACATAAATTTTCAATCGGAGTAAAGATTAATATATTAGGAATTTTAGAAACCCAGTTATAATAAAATTATCTTAGAAAGTTAAAGAATAAAATTTTAGACAGAAATTTAAATTAACAAAACATTATATAAGTTACCTAAAATATTTAGAATTATTAAATCAGAAAATCTAAGCGCACAAACGACTGAACACAGATTCGAACACAAAAATTGTGCATTCGGTCGTCTGCCCGGGCAACAGGCCAGAGCTTGTTGACCGCTGCTGTCATGTATCACCATCGATCGTCCGGTGGATCAGTTTTTATATTTGATTCTGTGTTTGGTCTCTGTGTGCATAGCATTGCTGTTATTAAATACATGTTCCCATTGGCCACCAAAAAGCTATTAAGAAATAAAACAGATTTTAATTTATGTAACAAATGAGTAATTACAAAATGCCATATTACTTGAGATGGTGCTCCTCCATAATGGGTCGGAGGAAAATCTTGTCCATGATAAAAATCCTTATTCATTATGTCATTAAATTATTAAATTTTTAAAAATGAAAACTTGTTATTGAACGGAGTTGGACAAAGACAATTTTACGAGGATTGAACAATTGCGTGGGTTGCACTGATTTCATTAACACTTTGAATTTAATTGAGTGGTGGTGGTGAATGTAGATCATATATAGATGAGTTTGGTGTTAATTTGGCTCGATAATCCATGATGAAAGTCCGAAAAACTACGTGGTGTATGTGCCAAGATCCTTCCGGTTAAAAGTTGGTAAATTTGGTGGTGTTTAGGTAGCGTTTAGTATGGTCACTAGTAGAGTGTTGTCTCAGATAATACACTAGATTAGGTAATGCTTAGCGATGGTCACTAGCAGATACATGTACTTAAGAGGATTCACCCGGTTAGATTAATGAAATTGAGAAGCATTAGTTTAATGAGAAAGCCTAGTGTTGGTCATTTAGATTAATGTAAACCTTTTTAAAAAATGAAAAAATGTTTGAGCATACTATACATATGTAGCATCATGACCATGTATATATATAAATGTATTATCTTCTAAAAAATAATCATACTGGACTATATGTTCAACTTACGGGATTGAAATTTTTTTTTAAGTGTTGATCACGTGCCCCGACATTGAGACGAGGCATATGATATGTGCATGAGCTAAGATAGAGCTCTTTTGACTTGTAGGCATTGAGCCATTTTTTTTGTTGGTCGAGTGTCATTTTTGTGAGGTTTGTCCCCATAGGCCTATTTTGGGAAGTCATTTAAAAGTTAAAAGGCAATCTTTAACCCATTTTAGGTCGCATCATCTCTCACATTTTTTATATTTTTTTTCAAGAAAAAAAAAACAAAAAAAAGCTAAAACGTCAGCCTTAAGGTATTTTATCTACATATGATGTTATTTTTGAATTACATACTGTATATTTACTACATCTAGATGTTGAATAAAGAAGGCATGTAATTGGAGAATCTCATATAATGAATGATAGTAATATATATACATATGAGAGGACATATATACATGAGAGGATCCCTTTGATTATGTTAGTTATTGTCTTTTCTCTTATTGTTTATTGGATCTTATAAATTTGAGATGTGACATCTTCACCAAAAAAAATGTCTTATGGTAATAGACACAAATTTATTTTTTTTTTTTGGGGTGGGGGGGGAGAGAGTAAACAAAAAAGTGAGAAACCGGTTTGAAGATGACCCATAAGCAAATAAGGTGTCAAACCTCTAAAAAAAATATCCTATGTAAACACTATCATATTTAATTAAAAAGGGCAATGATTATTCATCCGCTGATCATTGTACTTGGCAAATGCAATATGCAACTTTTAGATAGTGCTCACTACTACTCATCAAATAATTGGAGATCAAACTAGGAATGAAATACAACGTAGAATTTAACCAGATCATTGCAATCGAAATGGTATGATATTGAGAGAGAGAGAGAGAGGGAAAAAAAAAACATTTTTAGAATGAAATACAACAAAGATCATGGAAAATGTAGGGTTTGGTGCACTTGATCGACTGGAGATCCATTTAAATTTTGATAGATTTTTGGCTCACTTTCAGCCCAAGTTCTCATATCGTTAATGATGAAGTTTATGAGCTTCTCGTTGAAGAAGACAACGAATGCATAACTTCAATAGGTGCTATAATCTTGTTGAAAATCTCCACATCCTCCAACATCTACCCCATTGCAACCGTCATTGTTCCCCATATAAGCACTTTGATCATAAGCACCTTGATCATAAGCACCACCATCGACTCCATAAACATCATGACCACCACCATTGTCACCGTAAACATCATGCCCACTACCATAAACGTCATGACCATCACCATTGTCACCATAACTACCATGAACACCGACATTATCATCATAATGACCAGCACCAACATCATGAACATTTCCATTGTCATTATAATTATCACCATAAGCATCCTGACCACCACTATTGTCACCATAAGCATCATGGCCATTGCCATTGTCACCATAATTGTTACCATAAACATCATGACCACCACCATTGTCACCATTAACATTATGACCACCGCCATTGTCACCATAATTATCATGACCATTGCCATTATCACCATAATTGTTACCATAAGCATCATGACCACCACTATTGTCACCGTTAACATTATGACCACCGCCATTGTCATTATAAACATCCTGACCACCACTATTGTTTCCATTTCCACCACCACCACCATTACCAGTTAATCCATGGTTGGTCCCACCCCCACCACCACCGCTGCTTCCACTTCCACCCATTAATCCGTGGAGCAAGTCCTGCCCTACTGCTTGAGCAGCACCACTAGCTAAACCACTAGCTATACCTTGAGCAGCCGAGTTCATCAATCCATTATTCTGCACATTAGCAACTGGTGCATTAACACTTGGTGCAACAGATCCATACATCCCTGGGTTCCCCATATTCATTGGTGGATAGCTTTGCATTAAAGGCGGCCTCATTGCATATTGAGGACCAAAAGCTGGTGGTGGTTGCAACTGTTGTTGCATTTGAATTTGTTGAAGTGGAAAGTTTGATGTTGGTTGGTATTGTTGCACCAGAATTGGTTGAATTGGACGCTGAATTGGAACTGCAACTGGTTGAACCGGAGCTTGAATTGGGCGTTGAACTGGAGCTATTGATGTTAGTTGGTACTGTGGCACCTGAACTGGTTGAACTGGAGGTTGAATTGGACGTTGAACTGGAGCAGTTGATGTTGGTTGGTACTGTTGCACATGAACTGGTTGAACAGGAGCTTGAATTGGACGTGGAATTGGAGCTGTTGATGTCGGTTGGTACTGTTGCACATGAACTGGCTGAATCGGAGCTTGAACTGGACGTTGCTGAACTGCAACTGTTGATGCCGGTTGGTACTGTTGCTTCTGAATTGATTGAATTGGAGCTGCTTGAACTGCTGGAGCTGTCAATTTTGTTTGGTACTGCTGCATTTGATTTGGTTGAACTTGAACTGGACCTAGATGTGTTGGATTTGGATTTGGATTTGTTGCTTTTGCTGTTGCTGTTGCACAAGTCAAATGAGCATCAAACTGACACAAGCTGCAGTGGTAGAGCCAGTGGTTAGTCCCTGTGTTCTTGCATATATCACAAGAAAATGCTTTATTGTGGTAAGGAGATGAGAAGATGAGGTTGAGCCGGTGAAGGTGAGATTGATGAGTGACTGACAATGGCATGGAAGCACAAAGTAGATGGAGATCAATGCTACAAGCATTGCAGTGGTAGGAGAAGCCATTGCCTTGGTTCCCACATGCATCACAGTTGAAGATGCCATTTGGGTAAATAGGGGTTGGGAGGAGAGATAAAACATGGTTCTGGTCAAACTGGTGTTTGATCTGCTGAGGCATTTTTGAACAGTTAACATGGAGGAAGTAGCTGCACATTTGGCAACTGTACATCAATCCAGAGGCTTTGACTTTGCACCCTGAACATGAAGCTAGGTTTAGGGTTTGTTGTGATTGATGGTTGATGAGCTGCAAAGGATGTGGATGGCTGAAATGTTGAATTGTAGTAGGATGAGGCTGGGAGCTTGGTTGGGAACCTGTTTGGCCAATTGGATTCCCCATTCCTCTCTCTATCTCTCTCTCTCTCTCTCTCTCGGTTTTTGCAATAGGATCAAAACATCTTATGCATTGAAAGCCAAGATAGTGTTGCTTATAACAAGCAAGGTCAACTGATGATGTGATAGAAAAATAAGGGAGAAATGAGCAGGGTAATAATGGATACAGCTTGCTTTTAGAATAATAATAATAGTTGGTAGGTTGGTGGATTTCGTTTATGAATAAACTGTGAGCTGGTTTGATTGGAATGAAAGATTGTTAGCTGGTACGGTATCGTAGCCCAGTGCTCATTTTAAAAAGTCAACCTAAGGGGCCATGTTTCCATTGGATCTGGCTTTTTCTTCTTCTTCTTTTATTTATTTATTATTATTTTTTAATGATTTTTAGCTGTTATTACGCTCAATTTGTTTATACGATGAAGCTTTTTTCGTCAGCATCCTCAGCTCAGCATTGACCTTGGATGTGCAATTGGCAAGTTATAATATTATAGCTATTATCTATTGTGATTTTTTTTTATGAGCAATGTTAGGTATCATGAAAAAAATTTCATGAAAATGATCATGAAACATTTATGACCCTTGGATTACACTTAAAATAAAACGTCACACACTAATTAAGGTAATCCAAGGGTCATAAATTTTTCATGACCAGTTTCATGAAAAAATTTTCATGATCCCTATCTTTTTTCTTTTTTTATAACCATTATATAATGTAATAAAAGTGATAGTTGCGCAAAATCAAAATTGTAAGTGCAATGGATCTTACATAAGAGTAATACCAATGGTCATAATTGTGTTATGTAAGATGATAAATAAAATATGATCAAAAAAGATAATCATTATAGTATTACTTTAATTCTATACCTATGGTATTGTTGTGATTAATAAAAAAAAAATCATTGCAATCAAGTTGATGAGCAATGAGTGAATCAAGACTTTGTGGGTGATGACACATGGGGGGAGGGTAATAGTTTGATCATGTCCAGCATTTCACAAGAAAGTACCTCCACTGAATGCCACAAGCCTCAAGAAACTAATCCCCACTCTAAACATTTTTTTTCATATTTTTGAAAGGCTTCACAGTTTTCAAAGTCTCCTCCCAAGTAAATTCATTTTAAAAGATCATTGAAATGGTCAAATAAATTATAATGTTTTAGAATGTGTGGTACATTTGTGTCGTACGTTTTGGACTTGATCAAAGGAAAATTGATCTCAAACTTTTTCTTTCTTTTTATTATTATTAACTTTTTAAGGGCTAATTTTGTTCTTATCACTGTATTATCATCGAATTGTTTGCTCGATTCAGTCTAATAAGTTGTTAAAATATATAAATTAAAATTTATTTAATCCTTAAACTATCAATCGAATTTATTTAGTTCCTAAAAAGTTTTATTCAAACTAATTTAGTCTTTGAAAATATTATAAAAATAAAATATAAAGTCATAAGTGTTATCAATTAATAATAAAAAAAAAACTCTATCTAAATAAAATTTTATTATATAAAAATGTTAAAACTATATTTTGTCTTTAAAAAGTATTTTGCTTTGTTGTGTGTTTAAATTGGTGTCATAGTCTGATTTCTAAATCTTATCATGTTTTTAAAATTATTAGAATATTAGAAATATTGAATAAGTAAAATCAGATAATTTAATAATAACACTTCGTTACAAATAATAATATAACAACATAATATATTAATTACGTTATTAAAACAATTTAAAGAAAAGTTTTAAGACAAACATATAATACTAAATTAAGGCGAGCAAATAGTTATTGCAGAAGATAAGATAGAATATATTATAAATAATTACTTTTATCCTTGTGAAGGAAATTCACAAGAAGAACTCACTACAACATATAAGAGTCTTAAAGACTAATTTTTTAATCTCTAAAAGTGAAAATTTTGTTGCAAAAGAAGTTTAGAAACCAATTTCTATCGTCGTGAGGATAGTCGCTAAAAAAGCGTTTCAAAAATTCAAAAACAAGACTTTTAGCGACAAAATTTTAAAAATATCACTAATAAATAAACTTTTAGAAACAAAACAATTTGGTCTCAAAATAGCTTATTTTTTTAGACAAAAAATTTGATCCCAAAAGAATAGTAATTCATATCACTAATGTCCATTTTTAGTTGCTAAAAATATAATTACGACACTTTTCGCATCAGAAATATTTGGTTTCTAAAAAATAATTTTGACCCTAAATTTCGGTCTCTAAAATCTTAATTTTTTGTATTGACTTGCGTCCACTTTTTAAAGATATTATAAATTTAAGATTTTTCTCTAAATTTAAGATTTTTCTAGAATAAAATATTAATTAGGTATGGTCTTTTACTAATGGGGGGCCGCTATTATCACTCCACTTTGCTCAAAATATACTCTGTTCTTTGTCCTTATTATACATAATTACATTAATATACTTTCATACAAAATACACTCTTTGAAAAAAACAAAATTTCAAAGATATTGTCATTTTGTGCACTTACATGTTCACATTTGGTTGTAGTAGTTAAAGTTGACAATTATGATCATGTGTTACTTCCAATTGCTTAAGATGAATTGGGGTTTGAGATATGAGCGTGGGTTCTTGAAAATAAATAAAAAATAAAAAAGGGACTAGTTTGAGTTCATAACCTTTTTAACTCGAGTTATTAAGTTTGTTAAGGTATCTCTACACCTAGTGTCCTAAGTTTATCTAGATTGGGAATCATTGGCCTAACACTTTCTACATGAGTTAATTAGAAAGCTTAAGAGACTTAAACATTACATTGTCACACACAAAAAAATAATTAAATAAATAAAATGTTTGGTCTGTAGCCTTGTTAACTTGCGTTATTAAGTCCATTAGAATGTCTCTACACCTAGTGCCCTAAGTTCATCTAAATTGGGAGTCACTGACCCAACGCTTGTTATATAGGTTAATTAAAAAGCTTAAAAGATCCATTTATAAAATATATATATATAAAGAAGTTCGGACCCATGTTTGATTTCAAAGATTCAAGGAATGTAGTTGTTGGAACTTAATACATGAGTAAGAGATGTTGTCTTTCCTGCCACACTGAATCTCACTTTACGCAAAAACAACATGTGATATCTTTCATCCGATTGTGATTTGATGCTATTTGTTTTCATATTTATGGACACATGGATAGTTTGAAGATTTGTATGATTTGCTTACTCAAAATTTCTCGTAAGTGAGAGAGGCTGGTTTTGATGAAAATTGGGTGGTACCGAGTATTTGTACATAAATCTGTCCCAAGTTTCAATTCCTTTGATCAAGTTGATGTTTGTAGATATCATCTCTGAAAACCATCATGAGACTTTACTCGTCCACTTAGGTAACCTTGTGGTTTAAAAAGCTTGTTGCATATGCTAAATACAATTGTGATCCCTACGAAAGTGACTTAGATAGATTATGTATTGTTTTACTTTACTCGAGGACTAGCAAAGTGTAAGTTGGAGGTGTGATCTAAGCCAACATGTTACACTTTGAGGCTCCTTATCTTATATTTTTAGCCTTTTAGCTTATGATATTTGATACAATAAAGTGTTTTTCTTCATTTTCAAGTTAATATCACCTCGAAGATGAAATGATTACAAAAAGAGCGAAAAATCCGTAACTGAGTGAATCCGCACAAGCAGAATTCCAAATCCACATGAGCGAATTTGCCTCAATATTTGTGTGCGTGTTTTTTATTCAGAATTGACTGTAGGCTATAAAAATAGAATTTGGGGACCTGTTTTGGGATCTGAAACCCTAAAGAAGACGGCTAAAAGTTAGAAAAGAATAGTATAGACACCCCATTTTTTACCGTCCTCAAGACTTGGACGTCACCGTTTGAACACTCGGTGATCATCCATGTTCGTGTTCGTTTTGAGTTCCCGGAGGCCTCGGTCGCACGCCGTGTCTCAGGATCTCTTAACTTGCCTGTTCTGTGCTTTGTTTTGCACCAAGGACTTGTGTTTTGTGCTTCTGAGGGTGGGAAGAGTCTTGTTAGCCATCCCTGAAACCCACCGGCCGTGGTATGCTGCCACCGGCCTTGTTTTTCTTCTACCGACCAAATGTTTGGTCGGTCAGCATTCTCCTAGGTGTATCGGTCTTTTCTTGTGGTTGGCCGACCATTTATTTGGCCGATTGACTCCTGTTCTGGCCGATGCCTCCTTTTCGTCTTTTTCAGACATGGTGCATGCCAGCTATGCTAACTGGAGTGCACGAACTTGTCCTCCATATAGAGGATTTGCCCCTTTTGCACCTTTTTGTTCTAAGCTTCTTGGAGAAGCTTGCACCCTTTGCACAAGCTTCTTGAGGAAGCTTGGACCTTTATATGAAGGAGATGGATTACGAAATCAAAATTGAACACATCAGATAAGAACTAAGCACTGGAAAATAATTAAATTAACAAACATTTAATTAAATACATTTAATTAACTGAAAGTTTAAAACATTAAAACATAACTTACAATTGTATTAGTAGCAACTGCAAGGATCTTAAATAGGTACAATGAGAAAAGACTGGTGTATATATGCTATATATATCTGATTTGCTGAACCTCTTCAAAGGAGAAGGAAGGCTTCCTTTTATAGAGGAAGACAAAGGCCTAAGCTTCTTAAAGAAGCTAAGGCAAAAGGGTCAAGGAGGTCAAGCTTCTAAGAGGCAAATCAGATATATATAGCATATATACACCAGTCTCTCTCTATATCTCCCTCTCTCTCTTCATTTGTGTGTGTTAGAGGGCCTAAAAAGGTGTTTTGTTATTAGTTTTGCACTAAAGCACCTAATATTACACCATACTTTGGTTTTGGAGGTGTTGAGAGTTTGTTCTTGGAGTTTTGAGTTAGTGTTGATTAGAAAAAGGGGGCTGGACTTGCTGTTCTTGAAGTGTTCTTCAAGGGTAAACATTATTGCTTTATATTCCCCAATCTTGTACTAGCTTTTAACCTACTTTGCATGCTGTTTTGAGCTTTGTATATAACTAATAAAAACTCTGATTTTTCATGCTTAAGATGTTTCATTAAGGTCTCTTTTGTGTTTGG